TTGCAAATTTATAAACACCTATCAAAATTGTCTATCCTTAAACATAACTTCAATGATCCTGGGGGATGGAGGTCGGGGAGGCCAGTCTGAGGAGGCAAAAAACAAAACTAAAAAACAACTGACCCGAATCCCATCACACTTAAAAAAAACGCACCATTGCGACCCGAGGGGGAAGAAGACCCCCCATAGTAAGACAACATCCAGCAACAGAAAAAATCTCGATAGAGAAGGAAAATGAGATTGTACCGAAAAGGGGAGACAACCCCAACTCACAAATTGTCGAACAAAGGGAGACAACCCTCTCTCTCTCCTCCCCATCCTAATAACAACAAAGCACAAATTTAGTTTTGAAAAATAAGTTTAATTTTCAATTGCAAAAACCTTAAACAATAACCCCTTGCGTACCAATGAGACTAGCATACCCTGCATTTGTCTCAATTTAATATTAATATTTGTCTCAATTTAATATTAATGAACACAAACCCACACGTTCAATGTAATCCCTGCTGGAAAACCATGGCTGTCTTTGTCAATGCCGCTTGAAGAAAGGGGCTGTCAAACCAAAAATACATTTCAACTATACTAAATAAAGGAACAATTCAAATATATCATTTTCAAATCAAATAAGCCTTGATGAGATGAGAAAGTGAACACAACACAAAGAAAATGGTGAGTGTGACCAAGCAGGGAATGAAAAAAATACAGAATATGTACAGTCAGAGTGAGCATGCACTAGTGGCAATGATTATGCAACAATTTATCCAATACTAATAGTAATAGAAAGTGTTTTTTTTTTTAAAACACCAAATTTCAAAATATACATCATTTGAAATTTCTTTTAACTTAGAAATTACTTAAGATGTAATGAAAAGGAAGCATGAAAAAGTAAAGTGTGTTTTCATTTTTTTTCTCCAAATATAATATAAAAACTATTTTTTCTACACATATCGTCATATAATTAAATTCGATTTGGCCGTAAAACTTCGTAACTCTTGCCAATATGAATGAAGGGGCAAATATCTCTAACAAATAATAGAAAACTATGGAAAATATTTTTAACAATTGTTAAGTTAAATCAGAACGAGGTGTGCAACAGCTTTGTAGTGGTCAATACAATGCAAGTGTCGACCCACTCCCCTAATCCACTGTTGGCAATGCATGAAAAGTTTCAATTTACATTAAATTTAAATCTGACTTTTGGAATGTTTGCTTTGTAAACTTTCATTTTTTTTTTAAAGTTTATAATTATAGGTTTAAGATCAAAAACTGATCATGAGAAGAAAAAAAACACCAGGGGCTAACACAATGACTGAGTGCATCAAAGAGTGCAAGTGCCTAGGAAGTGAGGTCAAGAGGTGGCAATTGTGACCAGGGTTTCTTTTAGGCATCCCCCCCCCCCCCGCGGAAAGTGCAGTGCCCCCCTCCCCCAAGCAAAATGGGTAAAAACAATAAAATGATTATTTTAAATATTAAAAAGACTAAATTGTCATTTTTAAATAGTTTTAAAAAGAATAGTAACTGGTGATTTATTCGATTACAATTAATGGAATCTATTAAATATCGCTACGCTCAATATATTTGATGATCCGTATATTTAAGGCTAAATCTTGTTAAAGGCCTATAGAATTCGATTTAAAAAAAATCGTACTGACCGCTTCTGATTATAAGCTGAAGTCTTACTTCCTGTTGTTCGCACTTTCACCTATCGTATTTTTATTCATTTTCTAAATGTTTTTTTTTTTTTTTTTGCAAATTCACAAATTTTTAGACTTTTTAATAACATTACTTTAAAATACATTTTCATCAAGATCAAGGACCACAATTCTAATAATATTTCTTGCCAAGTATCAAACATACGCAGTCTATGTTCTAATTATATTTCATTATAAAAGCATTACTTTTAAGGTAGGGATAGGTGTTAATATTTTAACTTGTATGATGATATTAGCCTTTAAAAAAAATAATTTTATTGGCATAACCATAAATGTACTCAATTCCCTGTACGTTGGAGTTATATAAAATGGAAACTTAAAAATAGAGAGATTTTTTTTTTAATTAAGAATTTGACGGGCCCATACACATAGTGAAAATTTCATTAATTATAATATAGAAAAAGTTTGTGTTTTCTTTAAAAGTCCTACGTTTGTAACAAAGTTTCCTGAATAACAGAGGTTTAAAAAAATATTTAGCCAATATTTATTAAATTCTCACCAGCTTTTATCTTTCAAATATTAGAATAATAAACAAACTGCCCCATCTGATTGCAAAGATTGTTTTAAAAAATATTTTTTCAAGATGAGAATGGATCAGAAAGTTAAAATAAAGAAGATGAACTATAATTTTGATTCTAATGCAAATTCCCTTTTTTTTCTTCTTTTGTTGATGTCTTGTTTTAGAGTAAATTCTTATTTCCTAATTTGTCAATTTACAAAATCTGTGGATTTTTGGGGTAAAAATATTATATAGTATATCTAAGTGGCAATGTTCAGTTTATCAGAAAAAAGCTTTATTATTTTAAACTGAAAAATTAAAAAAATTCAATCAACTGAATGTTGCGAAATTTCTACTTTTTTTGTAAAGAACTCATGTCTTCTTTACATAATAATACTGTTTATATACAATTTATAAAAATGACCAGTTTTGATAACCCATAAAAATGCATAGACCTTTCTACTTAACATTTTTTTAATCTTCTTTTTTTGATATTGGTAAAACGTTAAAATATTTAGCAAAGTTAATTATTTCACGTAAGTTTGTTATACATTTTTTTTTCAATAGTGATTAGCATATAAAATGTTAGCAATGCTTTTTTGTGATGGAGACTTTTTTTTTTAAGTTCATTTATCAACTATGTAGATAACCACCAAAGAGGTTTTAATTTAAAAAAAAAAAGAGGCCACATACTATTTAATAATATAAAAAATATTTGCATAACACAACTACGTCAAGCAGAGTTGTCACTCGACTTTCCGAGGCCCTTTTTGGTTTTGTCCTCCCCCACCTTGCATTGATAGATGATTTATAAGGAAATATCCACATCACACCTTAAAGCCCTAAAATATCCACTGCAATTCTAGAGATTGCTGAGCTCACACAATGTTTCTAAGGTTAAATAAATGACACCTAAATTTTTATAACTAGAATTTCTTCCATTGCCCGCCAAGTGTAGAATGTTGCAAAACTTAATTTGAAGTACTTGCTAAATGCATTATTTTATTTTAAATTTATCAAAAATTTACTGGGGATTATAAAGATGAAATAGACGACATTATAGGGAAAATGCATGCCCGCCTCAATTGGACTGTATTTAAGTTCATGTTGGGCTGAAGAAAGTAAGAGATATTCCTAATTAGGGCTAATTTTGAAAAATTCCTTTCCCAGATGCTACAGTCTAAGAGAAACACTGAATTCAGGTATACTTCAAAATACACCTATTGATTTTGAAATAGTCCAAAATTTGCTGGGGAGGGCTCCCCAGACCCCTGCCTTTACTCAAGAGCCAATAGTGCCCTCAATTTCTGCCCATCTTCCTTAAAAAAATGACAGTACAGCTGGCGTTGGTCATAATTTTTGTTGATGATAGATACACAGCCTAGTGGAGTAGCTAGTGTTAGTGATGAGTGTTTGGCGTCAGGGGACATTGATTCATTTTAACGCCCTCCCCTCTAAAAAAAACACTATTTTGATGCATTAAATACCACCACACCCTATTTTGGCGTCCCGTTAGTATGGTGCATGGGGGTATCTGTCCCCCCTCAGCTACACAACTTGCCGCTTTCACTGCCCCCTCCCCGAAAATCCGAAATGCAGTTATGAAAAGTCATGTGATATGCATGAGGATTAAAATTTTTACAACATTCCAGACAATAATAAGTGCTGGCGGTTCTCAACCTTTTTATCGCTGTGTCCCCTTGATAGCATTTGCAATGTTGTTTAAGCCCACATTCATTTTTTAAATTTCAAACGAAACGTCTTACATTTAAGATGCCGGTAAAGGTTAAATTTTAAAAAAACCACTCAAATTTCTAATATAATCATAATTAAATATCAATAACACTGTCAAATGTAATGAATGCAATTATTTGGTTTCAATCAGCTCCTAATCTTGACTCCAAGATGTTCTTAGTCCCTCAGAATCCAGTGAGTCCCTCCAATGATCATGTACTTGGTCTTTGTGATTCAGGCATTCTGCAGGTTTAAAAAAAAAAAATTACATTTAAGGTCAGAGTATGTCATACAGTAACATGTGTTTACCCTGTTTATATCTTAATTTTTATTATTTATTTTAATATTATGTAATTCTATAAGCAGCACAGCAAATGTTAAAGGGTAAACAATTTTAGATTGAAGTCTACATGAAAAATTTAGGATAGAGCCTTAATGTTTAACTTTTCCTATTTTATTGTTTATTTTAAGTAAAGATTTATATTCACTTGAAACCCTGAAAGTTATTCAAAATAAAATAAGAAATGTTGCTAACCCCAGCTGATGAGTTGTTTTATCTCTTGACAACAATGGTTGGTGCTGGTTGATCTGCTGTTGTAGCAGATTGATCCATTCTTGAATCTAACAATCCCTGGTGCTGGGTCATCCAATTTGAGTACCGGTAGCTAAAAGTTTATTCTATAGTTGAATCTAGAATACAATTTAAAAGCAATTAATATTACAAAACAGCATAAAATATCTATAATTATTTTTTTAATTTAATTATGTTAAAATTTTAAGATGAACTAACTATGTTAGTAACATTATCCATTCTTGTCCATGATCTACATCAGACAAGAGCCCAATTACAGAGATGTAAGCAATATTTACATATATTAATTGCAATAAATAATTTATTAATAATTTCATATATTTTATAAACACACAACTTAGGTGTTTATTTTACATATGTTAAAAGAAAAATTGAAACTAAAAGCAATAAATAGATAATATATTTCATTAAATGTATTAAACCGACAAGTTGAGCTCCATATGAAGTACAGAAACAACCATTTTTAAGATAGATACCTTTTAGTCAACAAAGCCTGAACGATATGATTGGCTATCTCATCAAGACATATCGCATACCGCTGTCGTTGCTGTTCATTCTCCAACACAAGGGAGCCCCTCTCCACCTTCTCCATCTTTAATCTCTCCAGTGAGGATTTACTCTTGTCTCTAGCCTGCAAGATAAACCAAAGACAGTGAGGGGTGGAGACTTACATCATTAAATCTTTAGTGAAATCTTATTACTAGTGATGGAGTCATGAAACGTTTTTGTTAGAGATATCAACAGTCTGACACACAACAAACTTAAGGAAATAAAACTGGCTATTTTAAGATCTATGCTGATGATGGGCTCTGGAGGTTTGTGTAAATATCTTAATTTTAAAGAAAATAAATAAAATATTCCATGAAAACATTTCTTGACCATTTTACGTATTGCATATTACTATATAATAAAACTTATATTTAATATAAATGATTATGATATAGCTTACATAATCAATATTAAATTAAAATGCATTATGAATATGTCATGTGAAAGTTTTCTGTGTTGCCAGGCATGATTGACAATTTTTTAATCTTAGTAAAACTTTTTTTTTTAATTGATAAATATATTTCTTGCTTACTAATCCATTCCATCTCAGAATGACATCTCACGTGTGCCTCAATCTTCTTTACGGAATTTTAGGCACAAGGCATAATTTTATTTGACCATCAATTACAACATTATTATGAGGTGGTGGAACTAAAAATTCAGTGTATTTAAGTTTAATCTGTTATTCCGACCCAATTAAATAGAAATGTTGGGTGTAAGAAAAGGAACGAAGTAGAAAAAAAATAAACCATCAATTTGATAGATATTTTCTATTTTAGATATTTAATAGAGGACATGGGATGACATGAAATAACAAGCTTAATGTGACAGCTGGAACAATATACATTAAAACAACCAATAGTTTGCTTTAGCCTTCCTCGGACAAGCAATAATAGAAAAATTCCCAAGAGACCTAAACATCTTAATGGGAGACCTAAACGCCAAGATCAGGAAGAAAACAGTGGGTATGAGGAAGTTATAGGACGCCATGGTGTAGGAGAGAGGAATGAGAACGGTGAAAGACTAGCAGACTTCTGCGCAACAAAAGAGCTTGTTATTGGAGGCAACGAATTTCAACATAAAATCATCCACAAGATAACATGGGTATCCCCGGACAACAAAACGCAAAACCTAATAGATCACATATATATTAGCAAAAATTTAGAAGGTCCCTACAAGATGTACCAGCAAAAAGAGGAGCTGATGTCGCATGCCATCATCATCTTGTTTGGGCAAGACTCAAGTTAAAAGGAGACTACGAAAAGGCCTTTGATAACCTGAACCGACAAACCTTGTGGAAACTTCTTCGGCACTATGGAGTACCAGGAAAACTAACCAGGATCATTCAGAGATCTTATGAAGAAATGACCTTCAGGGTGGTCCAACGAAGGCAGACTCACAGTTGACTTCTAAGTGAAAGCTGGAGTCAGACAAGGATGTCACTTGCCCCATTTCCTATTCATCCTCACCATTGACCAAGTAATGAAAAAATCCACAGACAAAAAGAGGAATTAATGGGATACAGTGGGCACTCTGGGAACAACTGAATGACCTAGACTTTGCAGATGACATTGCACTTCTGTCCCACAACCAGCAACAAATGCAGGAAAAGACAAAAGACGTAGCCACCATTTCAGCACAGCTTGGAATCAATATAAATAAAAGCAAGACAAAGATCATGAAGGTAAACTCGGCCAACCAAGAGCATATCTCTCTGGCAGGAAAGGCACTGGAAGAAGTGGAGACCTTCACATACTTAGGCAGCACTATCGACATAAATGGAGGATCCGACGCGGATGTAAGGGCTCGAATTGGAAAAGCTAGATCAGCATTTGTGCTATTAAAGAAAATATGGGAGTCGAAGGAGCTGAAGCTGCAAACCAAAGTCAGAATCTTTAACACAGTCCTAATATATGGAGCAGAAACTTGGAAAACAACAGCGAGCATTACGCAGAAGGTACAGACATTCATAAACCTTAGAAAGATCCTGAACATCCAATGGCCAAATACCATCACCAACAAAGATCTACAAGAAAGGACATACCAGATGCCCATTGATGAAGACATCATAAAGAAAAGATGGAGGTGGATAGGGCATACTCTCCGAAAACCCCCAGATAGCATCACCAGTAGAGGAACGCCTAAGAATACATGGAGACGCGAGCTAGAGGCAGAAATGCAAAATATAGGATACACCTGGAAGCTATTGGAAAGGAAAGCACAGGACCGTGATGAGTGGAAAATTCTTGTGGACTGCCTATGCCCCAGACAGGGTAAAAAGGCATAAGAAGAAGAAGCCTTCCTCAGGCAACAAAAAATTAAGTTAAAATGTATTATGAGTTGGGAAAACTAAAAATGAGAAATACAACTTCCACAAGTTAGGACCCCGGAGAAGCAGTCATTTTATAAAATTAACTTTAAATGCACCATTGTAATTTTGTTCATAGAACCGTATCTAAAGTTTTTAAATTAGTTAAATTGCACATACAGTTTTTTTTTATTAGTCCAATTGTATGAAGATTTTTTAAAATTAGTTAAATGGTAAATAGTTTTTTATTACTCTAATTTTACGAGCAGTTTTTTTTTTTTATTAGTCTAAATTCAATAAATGAATATAAATGATTCTATCAATTTTTTAAAACTAGTAATAGAAAACATGGGCCTTCATAATTTTTTTTTTTCAATTATTTATTAAGAATTTGAAATAAATTAATAATTAATGAGTTAGTGATTATTTGCTGTCACCTGGATATTCAAGCGTTAAAAAAGAGAAACACCCATCAATCACCAGGTCCTAAAATGAAGGAATGGTCCAATGTTTTTGTTATGCAGCCGACGTGTTTACGTCATCTTTCCCCGTTAATGAACTCTTGCTGACCCCAAGCTCGGAACCGCATTTTAAGGTGTGGCTAGATAAAAATAGTCTTCTTGACCTCGATTGCAAATAAATACAATCTGTAAGCATGTATTTTATTACAATTCTTTTTGTGCAGAGAGCCACATTGACAAATGTAATGCTGTTGGGGGGCCACATATGTCCAATTTTTACATGTCGATAAACATTTCTTTATAGTAAAATCGGTTAACTCACATTTTAGCAGTGCATGACAAAAGTCAAGAACTGTTTAAAAAACTAGAAAACTAGAAAGAAATTTGATTAAAATGTTAAAAGAATCATAACAGTGCATGAAATTCTGTAAAATTCAACAAAATAACTTACAAAGTTAGTAATTTTTTAATATATCTAAATGCCTTCGAAGGTCGTATAATATCAGTTGCCGGGCAGCACGTGGCCAGCGGGCCATAGTTTGCCCACCCCTGTAATAGAAGATAGTATTTGAATGATGAAAGCCCTAAAAATAATGGGTAAATTCTAGAAATCACTTTTTCTGATCTATATCAAACAGGTTGGAGTTCTGGGACCTAAGCTGTGTTTGAGTAAACCGGGGGGGGGGGGGGGGTTTTTTTTAGCTATTACTATTATTACCCGAAATATATTTTTTTTATTTCTGATCTATATCAAACAGGTTGGAGTTCTGGGACCTAAGCTGTGTTTGAGTAAACCGGGGGGGGGGGGGGAGTTTTTTTTAGCTATTACTATTATTACCCGAAATATATTTTTTTTAATGGCAATATTACCATGTCATGTTTTCAATGGAAGAAAATCATAGACTAATAAAATTCTAAAAGTTAGGCCTAATTATAAAAAAATTAAATATATAAATTAAAAAAATAAAAGCAATAAAATAAATGAACAAAAATCCTAATTATGGAGCAAAAAGATTACTTTAAAGACATAATCAATTCAGGTTTGTGAGAAATGATGTTACATTTTTTGAAACTATATTAATATCACTATACAAGTACAAGTGTAACTTAAAAATTGTCACTTTTTTTTATGTTAGATACTCAAAAATGATACTCATACTGTCTTCTGGGTTTATTTGATTTCTCCTATGTGTTTTATGTTAATTTAATTGAAAAAGTCTTGTTCAAAAAGCTTTTTTTTTATTGACTTTTCATGTGAAATGTTGAACGCCCTGGGTGGACAACCCTATTGTCAACTGAAAAATGTGGGGAATCAACCCTTTCAGTGTAAATTTGTTTGGACCAATATAATTTTGTTAAAGGTAAATATTGTATGTACTATTACATAATATATTCTTTATCAAAGTTTATCTAAATTTCTTTGTATTTAATAATTTAATAGGCTATGGCTTTGGTAGTAAACTACCAATAGCATCTAGAGAGCTATTGGTACTCCACTACCAGTAGCTTCTAAGCGGCTATTGGTAGTTTACTATAAAAAAATATACCAATTGGTGATAGATTGATATAGGGCAATAATTATTGGTAGTTACAATTTATTTTTTATTACAACACTGAAATCACTCTAAAATATGTATGTTGCCGAAAACAAACGCGACAAATTTTTTTTAATGTTTTCATCTAGTTTCATAAATTCACTCTAATCGGATTTCCAAGACATAATACACTAGTTTTTCTTTCTTTGTATATAGTTTATTTTATTTATGTATCACTGCTTCTGTTTTCATCAAAATTATGTGCAGTTTAAAACATTGATTCTGCATACTCTGCATAGCATTAAAAATAAATAGTGATTCCTAGACATTAATTTGTGTTTTAGTTGCACAATATACCCAATGAAATTGTTTATTTGTACATAAAAATATCGATGCCTTTATAAGTTAATGAGGTCTCATTTATGTAAATAACACTCAGTAGACATTTCTCCCATCAACAGAAAAACAAAAGCAGAGAGGGGGCGGGGGTGTTTGTTCAAGTGACCATGTTCCATGTTCCTAAACAATGATTGGCCTAAGATTATTTTAACATCCTTAAGCCTAATCCCGTTATTATACATTTTCATTTAACTAAAGTAAAAAGATTTTTATTTTAATTTGCACACTTTGAATGCAGTAAAACTTCTTATGGTAATTATTTAGGCTGTATTTTAATTTATAATTTTAATCATAATAATTAGCACACGCAAAATGTTTACAGCTGGATTTTATTTTTACTGCACATCTTACTTTGGCCTTTGCAAAGTAGAAGCTG